CCTGCCTGGTCGTTTTGCCTACCAATCCTCATGAGGTGAAGCTAGAGACATTCTAACATTCCCCCAACACTCAACTGAGCACCTGCTCTCTGTCCAGCATAGTAAGAGATAAGAGGAGTCTAATGTGTCTTTGTCTTCCAAGGAGCTCACATCTTTAATCTCTGCTCCTACTCTCCTAAGATCATCTGCCTTTGAGGTCTTCAAGGTATCTGGGAACCAAGCATGCAGAAGGGCTGAGCCCGCCACAGTCACATGGTAGAGAGATAGGGCGGCTGAAAGGTGGTGGTTTCCAGCTAGCACCTGAATTCCAGGTGGGCCCCTATAGCGGCAGAGTGAGAAAACAGGACCAGCTTTGAGATGCTTAGTCAGTGAGGTGGGCAGAGGGATTGTTCCTTACATCAAAGGATGAAAGTTCCTTTAGGTCATAAGTTGTCAAAGCTGGATCATGTGGCCCGGCCTCTCATGTTCGTAGGAGAAGGAGAAGTGGCTTGCTCAGATCATAAAGACAGCAGAAACGCCAAGCACTTACTTGTGTGAAAGGGAACATGATAGAGACCCAGATTGGGTTTCTAAATTGGGATGGAAACCTTCCCTTTTGACTAACTAACGTTACTTGTTGTCTAGAATTTTCTGTGGATTAAAAGTGCTGTGACACCTTAGTCAAATGTAACTAATCCCCAGGAAATGATCAGACCTGTGTGTGTTTTTAAAATTGCTATTTTCTCTTCATTGGTATTTTGCCCCAGATACTTGGTCATCAAACAGCAGCACGAATGCATTTCTATATAATCTGGCAATGCTGACAATATCTTGCCCAGTTCAGAATCCTCAGCACAGGATATAGGCACTGGGTAGGCCCTCCCAAGGATCTTGAGTTAATTTATGCCCTGTGGAAACACAATAGCCATGATAGTGTGACAGATACAGTCCCAATTCTGTCACTTACTCGCTAGGTGGCCCTGGGCAAGTTATTTCACCTCTGTGAAATGTGGTGATGAGTGTCTGTGTATATAAACACACACACAAACACACACACAAAACAATACTTTGCAGGATCCTAAACCCCCAACATGGTGCCTGGCACATACACCATTGGGGTTCTTTTTTTCTTTTTGCTGGCGAGGGGATTCTTATTTCTATTCCATGTTAAACTACAGCACTATCTTTAGGAATCAGCTGAGGCATTGGAATCTGAGATTGTGACAATCTGGGCGTTATCTCTGAAAAAATACCTTAAACTTAAAAAAAAAAAAGTTTCTGTAATTTTTCCGACTATTATTGATCTCTCCCCATTCATGTCCTCACCACCCCCCTCCACCCCACTGCCTTCTCCCTTTCTCTCCCTTTGCCTCAAAGAAAACTAATGGAGGCGTAGAGAAAGCTCCCAGATAGAACTGACCTTGTGCACCTTTAATTGAGGACAGAATTTGCTAAAAGTGCGTCCAAAACCCACCAGTGGTTTGCTTTACAATCTGTGTCCTGGCTAGACGGCTGCTGGCTGTATAATTTGTCTAGTTTTGTCTGGAGTCTTAGACTATTCAGCTGCTTCAGGGCAAAATCTTTTGGGGTATCATTAAATGGGATTGATAATTGGCTTCTGATGAATATTCATTGTGACTAATGACTTTGGGCAAATTTTACACATACTATCTTTCTATTCTCCCACTGAGTGAGATTTTGATAGGATCATTTTCTTCCACTTGCACTTCAATTAAATATTCACAATACCCCTTTGTTGACTATGATCCAAATAGTATACTTTCATTACTTTTAAACTTTGTATTCTGTAGGGAATGAGCATATTCCTCTAGGACCCTGGTTATTTTAAATGGGGTTGATTTTAGAGATTTTTTTTTTTAAATGTCTAATGATTATCAAGAGGACATACCCAAGTAGTCCATTTGCATCATCACTCTCCTCCTGTAGTTGATTTAGCCCTGCCCTTAAGTAATGATGCACATTGTTTGTACCATTTAGTATTTTGGAAAGGAGCCAGACAATACCCTTTTTTGGTTTGTTTTCTTAATCAAATGAATAAATGCATTTTTCTCTGATTTGTGAATTTGACCCTTAGAAGATCCTTAGTGAAGATATGAAAAAAGACCAAAATCCTTAGTGAAAATTGTGATCAAGCACCTTAAAAGTTTGCCATTTTTTTGAGGGACAAGTAATTTTAAAATCTTGGCACCTAGCATGGTGGGGTTTTTTTTGAGGTTAAGGAGACATTGTCTAAAGTTAAGACCTCTGCCCCTTTATCACTTGAAGTAGGATTTTGATTCAAACCGAATTAAGTTAAAAAGAGGAAGGTAGTCAAGTTCTGTCTTAACCAGGAACATTCTGTTGAATGACTTTTCCCAAGAGAATTACAAATGAGTCCATGTGATAATGACACCTTATGGTTTTATGGCACCTATCGATTTAAAAGTACCTTTATTTATTTGATGTAACAGAGCAGGTGTATCATGAATGAAAGGATGAATGAAACTGTTCATCTGATTTTTCGAAAGTGACATGTTTGTATATTTTTTAGAATCTGCGTCATATGCCCCATTCTGTGACACCCATGGAAACCTTGGTCCAATACTATTCCAAGTCAAGCCCAAATTCTTTATATTGTGACTATATTCTAAGTAGGACTTGCTGGGGGATATTTTACCCAAAAGACATTGCATTAGCACATGGGGAGGAAAGAGAGGCAAGGTCTTTCTATACAGACAGTTATAACCCCATTCATAATGGGGGCTTTGCCCAGGGGAGCCATGCATGGCTTTTCAGCCTCTCCAGAGACCTATGGGAGATGGAATTTGGTAGCAGCAGAAATCCAGGTCAGTTTAGGGGACAGGTAGAAAGGGAGATAGATCTGCACAGTTTTCCAAGATAAACTTCAAGAAGGTCGTAGAGATTAAGGCTAGAGATACTGCTGCTTATATAGGGAGCTGGGGGAGACAAGCCATTTGCAGATATGCCCCCAAAGACTTCTGGATAAGGTTTTACAGGAGTAGGGTGATACATCTTCAGCAAGAACACTTGGGCAGCTTGTTAAAGGACAGGTAGAAAGAGCTGGGAACCCAAGGGCATGCACCCCTCCAGCCTGACTTCCCTTCAAGGTGGTTTCACTGCTTTTATACTAAGAAAACGAAGGTGCAGTCAAGTTGGTTCTTCTCCCACTCAACACCAGCAAAGATTTTTCTTTGTTCTCTGACCTTGAGACTAGTCCAGTCTATGACAGACACTGTCCAGTCTATGATAGACAGCCTTTACATCGGAGCATACAGAAATGGATGGAGAAAGGATGGATTGAACCTCAAGCCTTGGCGGAGTGGCTGGGGACCACTCTTGAGAGCTTGCTGGGTGAGCTCCTATTCATGGCATGTACCTGATTTAAAGAACAGGGTCTGGAGGGAAAAGGAGGGGAAGAGGAGCAGCCCTGGATTTAAAGCACAACTGTGAAACATCAGCAGAATATCCAATTTAAAGCTGTTCATGTTACAGTAACCTCTGGGATTCTCTTAGCTGGGCCTTGGCATGTCACTCTTTCACCATGTAAATGTCCTTCTGTCAGCAAAGGCCAGTTAACAGCTTCCAAAAGAAGCAAAGTCCTCATGGGAATAGGCTTTCCAGAAACCAAAGAAACATGAAAGCAAAAAGGCAGAGAGAAACATGTGTTGTTGGCTTTTGTCACTTCATAGCCCTCTCTCCAAGGTCTTTTCCCGTCTTGGTTTATTTTTCTATCTTTCCCTGTATTGAATTTAGTAACAATTTTATTCCATTATATCTGCTTTTCCTATGTTTTTAATTAATACTAATTGTATAATGTCTCTAACCCTTAAGAAAAAAAAAAGGAATATGAAATAAGGCCAAACCTATAGGGAGAGGAAGGATTAGTCAGTAAACAGAGCTGGGGCAATTGATTAACTGGGTGGAAAAAATAAATTCTCACCTCAGTCCTTAAACCTAAATCAATTCCAGATGGATTAAAGAGTTAAATGCTAGAGAAGAATTTGGAGATTTTCTTAGTATAAAAGCCATGGACACCAACTTGAAGGGAAATATTCATCATGTCATGACTTAAAGCTTCTCTTCACACCAAAAGTCAAAGACAATTAAATAAGGATAAATTATTTTCCAAAATATTACAATAGATTAGTATCTTTTCCATAGCCACATTCTGTTTATAAATCAATAAAAACTAATAATAAGTAGAAAAAATTACTAAGAATATGACCGTTTACCTAAGAAATAGTCAAGAAACATAACGATGTTCAGCCTTAGTCGTGATCAGAGGAATAAAAGTAAAATCAAGATAAATACAATTTTAAAGCTCCTTACTGGACTTGAATTCTGAATGCTGGTGAGGTATAGGAGACCAGGCTTCCTGGATACTAGGATGTGTAAAGAGCCTCATTCCTTTATTTTATGAATACACTTAAATTTACATGATCAGGTTTAGTTCCTGCCTTCAAGTATTTATAGCTTATGTCTGTGAATTCTACCTCTCGGAACCATATATAAAAGAATTACTCTTTCTGATCTAAATTTGTATCTTAATGGCAGAAATATATCAAATAAATCAAAATAGCACAGGAAATTCATTGTCATTAAAAGATACATTCTTAAAGAACATTTAAAGATGTGGGAAAATGCCAGCAAATAGTATTTAAAAAAAAAAGCACAAATGTATACTGTATTGATGGCAATCCCAATTTTATTAGAAAAGAAAATATACATGTATGATGTTTGCAATACCCCAAGATATTGACTTATTTTCAGATGGTAAGATTTTTATTTGCTTGTATCCCTCCATTTCCTAAAATTTCTACCACCATTGTGCATTTGTTTTGCAATCTGGAAAAAATTTTTTGAAAAGCAGGCTCTTAGTAAATTTGAACGAGGCAGGTGAGTTAACTCGACGTGATGCCTACACAGTCCTTTTCCTTATGGGCTGCACAGATGGCACCTCCTGCTTCGGCCGCGCTGACTGTGGTTCACTTCTCTTGCAGTTGACCGCCTGCATCCACGGCTCTGCCGCCATGCTGTACCCCATGTTCTGGCAGCACGTGTACATCCCCGTCCTGCCGCCACATCTGCTGGACTACTGCTGGTAAGGCCCCACTCCCCAGTGCTCTCCTAGGTGCCGGCCAGGCATATTAGTCTGTAACCCATGATGCAGTTGGTGACTCTCAATTGAAAATACTAACTTGACATAAGGTGAATTCTAGACTGCCTGATTGTGTGGCCCTCTCGTCCCCAGACAGCCTCCACACGTGTCACACCATGCCTCACAGTGCATGTGAGGAGATGCTTTTCCCATTTCTCAGTTCGGGGAGGCCAGAGCTCCAAGTAGTTGTGTGATTTTTTTTTTCCTAAGGCAAATAGGAAACTAGGGACCAGAAGCACCGAGACCCCCAAGGTCTTCAAGTTTCAGCCATGTCCTGGCATGTTCTGTGACACTTGCTCTCCACTGTGGTTTGGGAGCACAAGTCAGACTTCAAAACCCTCGGAAGCCCTTTGATGGGGATTTCACTGTTCACTGAAGTGCGTGTTAGTGGCAGGAGGGTGGGGCCGGCTGGCTTCAGAGTCAGCATGTGTTGACTCCACGTGCAAATCACTTGGCCTAATACTGTTTCCTTAGCTGCAAAATAAGATCGTGCCGTGCACAGCTACATAAAGATGAAGTGCTGGGAGACAAAAGGAGCCCGTAGGAAAGCTGGTGCTTGGTAGGTGCTCAGTCAGGGGCGCCGAGGGAGCATCATCACTCTCTCCTTCAGCAGCTCACCCAAAGGACTGAGTAGGTGACTGAGCAGGCTCTGTCCTGATGAATGTTTTCCTCTTGCGGTGTGGTGTGGTATAAGACACTAGCTCCAAACCACTGAAGTCAGCAGAAGTTGGTGAGGGTGCACCATGCATGGGGGGGGGGGGGCACTAACCCCCTGCCAGAAACTGGGAGCTTCAGGAGAAAGAGACTCATTTTAGGCGGTCACAAAAGGACAGCTGATTTGGGATATTTACTGTCCCTTCAGTCATAACTTTTCCTGGACTCTCCAACCCCTTTTGCCATCCTCTTGTTGAAAAGGCTCACCCAGGTAGCCAGATTGTCCTGGTACTTAAAGTTCTTCCTAATCCTCCTGATTTGAAGGAGTTGACTCACTCTCACACAGGAAGCCTGGGCGCAACAAGGGTGTTGCTGAGGACTGTCAGGTGACCATCAGCAGCCTCTCCTGGCATTGGCTGGTTGTTCTCTTTATTCTGTATGTTTCCTGTCTTAGCGGACCTTTCTCCCTCCTCCTGTGAGATCGAGGAGCAGGTTCTCTGTTCAGGCTCGCTGCTCCTTTTGAACGTTTGAATCAGCTCTCTTGGTCCTGTCTACTGCCTGTATTCAGAGGAAACAACCATGTTTTCTCTCCAGCAGTGTTATTTAAATAAAAGATTGGGGTGGGGGAGGGTCTGGGCAGAGGCAGATGCTGAAACTCAAAGAGGAGGAAGGAGACAAGGAACAAGAGGGGAAAAGACAGAACAAACCACACACCCATGGAAGGTCAGATAAGGAATGACAAAAAAAGGTAGAAAAGGGGACATGTGTCCCCTAAGATAGACTCACAGAGTGACACCCAGTTCCCTTAGCACAAAAAACCTGCTACCACCCCCCCACTCCTGACACCCAGGACCCTCATAGGCACAGCCCCTCACGCAGCACACTCTACCCCACATATGGACATATGAGTCCCTTCCTGCAGTTACATGTCTTGGAGTCCCCAGCGAGGGACATGACTCCCTCCTACACCCAAACCCAGGCCTGTGCTCTAAAGGGCCTGTTCTCCCTGGAAGAGGCTCACCTTTGTGAATGGATCCTTGTTCCAGATAGGGTCACACAAGGCTTCTGCATGTGGGCGTTGGTGGAGCCAAGCTATCATCGAAGTCCCTTCATGAGCTGGAAAGTTTTGGTGGCTGTGTTGTTAGCTAGTTGAAAAACAGCAGCTCATGTTCCCAGAACTGAGAAAAGTGTTCTGTCAGCAGTTCCCGCGATAACCATAGCTGCCATGGTTAAACCTCCATGCCCAGTCCCTGGACTGTCACTTTACATCTGTGATTCCATCTGACTCTTCCAGCAACCCGAGGAGGCAGGTATCATTGGCTCCATTTCACAGAGGGGTACACCAAGGGCCCAAGAGATTTTTTAAATTTCCCCAATATGGGTATTATGTACTATATGATTCCATTTTTATAGAAACAAAAATTGTGTGTGATCTAATAAAAAAATATATACATGTTGCGACAGGAACTTTGTTTCTGCTTTGCAACGGGAACATGATGAGGGATACAACAGTCGTGGAGCAGGTTTGTAAGGCAAGACTCTGCTACTTGAGCAGAAGTTCTTGTGTCATTTATCGCAAGCAGACAGGCTAGTAAAAGCTGATCATGCGTCAGTGGTATAAGGAATAAAGTCTAGAGGGTGGGATAGGAATGGGGGAGAAAGTTTTACAAGGAACAGAGAAGGGGACATCGTGACCACATGTCAAGAGACATTTGCGTCAGCGAAGCATTTGATGTCATCACAGGCAGAGTTATCCCGAGACCACCACGGAGACAGTCATGTAATCAGGTCAACAGTGGCCTGGGCGTCCCTGGGCCTGCCTTGTGATAGGGGTTATACTCCGCAGGTATTCAAGGAATGCTCTGCTGTGATTTGTAGATAACAAATAGGTGACAGTTGTCCATGAGTGACCAACTAGTAGCCAGCTCATAGGAACCCACATATACACGCACATTTATATAGACAGAAATTTTAAGTGTACCAAAATATTAACAATGATTTGCAGTGGAGTGAAAAGAGTGGAATTCTGCATGGTTTTTATTTTCTATATTTTTACATTTAACAATGATTTGCAGTGGAGTGAAAAAGTGGAATTCTGCATGGTTTTTATTTTCTATATTTTTACATTTCTCCAGTGAAAAAAAGTGTAGTTTTTATAATTGAACTTATGTAATTAAACTTATACATGTATTTTTTTAATTCAGTGTTTTTGCTAGCCAGTTGCTACTTCCAGCTGCCATTTCAAATCCCAGCCCCCACCTTCCTTGTTTGTTTAGAGGATTTATTAATTGTTTACTACTTTCCTGTGGAAAAGATCCTCTTTTGCCACTTCTTCCATAACTCTAACCCCTTCCAGAACCCTGTCACCAATATGACCCAGAATAAGGTGGCTGATGATTCTCACTCAGAGGAAAGCCCTGACGAGGAAGGCTGCTAAGCCCTTGTCACCCAAATATTCCTCTCTAGAAGCTCAAAGTGAAGCTTTCTATTCTTCAATGCCCAGGTGATAGGTTTTGTGATGAGGCTGCTCCTCAGAAGTTTCTGTTTGTGTGACAGCATCCTCTCTTCCGGTCTCTTGTGTGCAGCACACTCTCTTCTGGTCTCTTGTTTTCAAGAAAGAACTTTTTGACATTTGACCAGGGAAGGATTACAGGCCAGTGGGGATTCCTACCTGTTTCTGAACTGCAAGATGTAAGAATGATGAAATTAAAGACCCCAAGAGAAAACACAGATCCTGCACTTGAGGCTTGACTTGATCACCTTCAGCCAGCTACAGAGGTAGATTTGGTTGGAAGGAACCAATGTCATGAAATTTGAGTGAATGCTTATAACTTTATTGTGCTCGGTGACTTTCACCACCATTGAGTTTAATCCTCAGTGGTAAGAGCCAGCAGGAATAACTAGCATTTTAAGTAAAGTGCTAGGAGCCTGAAACATGTAAATTTGAAGGAGGTTTGTTCTTCTGCAGATGATTTAAATGTTAAGTACATCCCCATGCAGAGGATACACGAAATGGAATCTGAAAACTATTATCTCCTGTAGAAATGAACTCTCAATTTACTCACTGCACAGGAAGGGCAGATTCTAGTCATTTTCACTGCCAGCAGGTGCCCTTTCTATGCATAATAGACTTCGCAAGTGTAATTAACACATGAGGACCACTGCTGCCAGTTTTTCTTCAGGTACATGCTGCTCGGAGTTTTCGGGACAACAGTGCAGGCTGTAAGAGCTTTTTACACTGCACTTGAAGATGAGGTGTTCATTGACTTCTAGACAAAGACATGTTAAATAGGGTTGAGCTCAGCCCCTGCTGTTGGTATCACAGGTCATGGTCCTCGGGCACAGAGACCCCCCCGAGCTGTCATGCAGCCTTTGCCAGGAGAGAGGCCAGTAGAGCAGAGCTCTGGGATGCTGTGAATAATGGCAAGTTTGATGCTGAAAACCCCACAATTATGTGGAAGACTCTTAATTGCACATTCACAAATACAACAACCAATTACCCGAGTTAACTTTAATGAGAACTATAATCACAGATTTTAATTATTTGAACAAATCAGTTTAGTACAAATAGTCTGCCCTAAATTTTTCCTAAATTAATTTTTTCATGTCCCTCACCATATTTGGAGAGGGTGGTAGAGAAAGTATTCAGGCTTTGGCTTCAGATAGACCCCAGTTCAAATCTCAGCTTCATCTCTTGGTAGCTGTGCAGCCACTTAAAAATCTGTCTTACCTCTCTGATCAGCCATTTCTTAATCTGTAAAACAGGTTTAATTTACCTACTTTGAAGAGTGGCTATAGGAATTAGAGAAATCAGCAGGCCCGTGGCACTTAGGTGCCATTTAGCAAATGGTAGTGGTTCTTACCTTGATTGTTATGGACATGGGCCATGGATTTTGGTTTCCAGAAGGTTTAACTCACATCAGACATTCTTGCCTTTGCTGCCTTGTGAGCTCAGGGGAAAACTTTCTAATTTCATCTTCTCTTTTTACCCCTCAGATTGTTTTTATTTTGATTTTTTTTTTATTTAACTTGAGTTATTGTATGGTTGTTTTCATTTGCAGCTGTGGCATAAGAATGAAAAGAAAAGAAACAAAAGCAGATGGCAGAGAAAACGAAAGGAGTAAGACATTTCCAGTCCTTATGAATATTTAAAAACATGTGCTGCTGGTTCCTTTCTACTTTAGATCTGTGCCATTCCCTTGACTTTGAAAGTGAAAATGAGAATGTTTCCTACCTTGCTGATGGCAGCCCTGACCTTGGCCAATGTTGGTTACCCCTTTCCGGGACAA